TTAGGGCTGTTGTGCATAGGGTCGCTATGAGTCGAAAATGACTCGATGGCACATAACAACAACAACAACACCGTCAAATCAGATCTGACTAGTACAGGAGGAGATTGCCCCCTCCTTCTCCAGCAGAGCATCTGGTGGATTTGAACTGTGTCCCTCTGGGATTGCAGTGCAGCGTCTTGCCACTAGGCCACCAGAGCTCCGTGTCAGTTCTGTTTTACAACAGTGGCCCTATGCAATATTTGTCCTTTTGTGACTGAGATATTTCACTTAGCATAATGTCCTCCAGGGTAAGTAATTTTGCATAATGTTTCATGAGTTCCTTGTTTTTCAATGCTGCATAGTATTCCATTGTGGGAATATACCACAGCTTCTCTATCAATTCGTTTGTTGATGGGCACTTGGGTTGTTTCCAGCTCTTTGCTATTGCAAACAAAGCCGCAATAAATCTGGGCATACATATATCTGCTTGGGTGGCAGTTCTGGTTTCTTTAGGGTATATTCCCAGTAGTGGAATTGCTGGATCAAATGGTATCTCTATTTGCAACTTTTTGTGAAAGTGCCATACAGCCTTCCATAGAAGTTGCACCATTTTACACTCTCACTAACAGTGAATAAGGGTTCCAGTTTCTCCACAACCTTGCCAGCATTTGATGTTTGCTGTTCTGTTAAATTTTGCTATTCTTACTGGGGTGAGATGATATCTCATAGTTGCTTTGATTTGCATCTCTCTTAGAGCTGGGGATTTTGAACATTTCTTCATGTGTTTGTTTGTCATCTGAATGTCTTCTTTGGTGAAGGTCTGTTCATATCCTGTGCCCATTTCTCAATTGGGTTATTTACTTTTATCTTGTGGTGGTGACTTTTCTTGGATTCTTAATCAACACCCATGGTAGCAGCAATTAGGAAATAAAAAGATATATTACACTGGGCAAATATACTATCAAGGACTTCTTTAAAATGTTAAAGAGCAAAGATACCAGTTTAAAGACTAAGGTGTTTCTGATCCATGGTATTTTCAGTAACTTGGTAGGATTGTTAAAGCTGTACAATAAATGAAGACCAAAGAAAAATTGGTTCCTTTTAATCATCATGTTGGTGATGACTATTGGATATATTATGGACTGTCAAGAGAACAAATATGTCTTGGAGGAAATGCAACCATGGTGGTCCTTGAAGGTGAAAATGGTGAAACTTGGTCTGACGTACTTTCACTACGTTGTTATGAGGCTTTGGAAAAAACCATCATGCTTCGAAAAGTTAGTGTCATTGAAAGAAAGGAACACCCTCATAAAGAGACTGACAGTGACTGCAGCAGTGGGCTTTTGAGTATGTGGAGGTTGTGAGCAGGGTTTCAATTTATTGTTCCAGGGTCATTATGAGTTTTGCTCTACTTGATGACACCTAATAATAACCACCACTACTTAATAGGATAAATGACTCTAGGTCTTTGAAAAATCTTAACATTCATACCTATTTCATGTATAACTTTTTCTTTTGGGGACATTTTTATTTTCTTTTTAAAGAAATTATTTGAGTCAAAGTTTACAGAACAGATTGGTATTCCATTCAGCCATTCATACAAATTTGTTTCCTGACATTGTTTGCAATCCACATATTGTATCATTTCCCCATTACATTTCTGTGGTTCTTGTTTACATTTGAGCCTCCATCATTTCCTTTCTGCCTGAGAATTTTATCCATTAGCAAATTCTGCTCTTGTGATTCTATGCGTTTAATTATTCCATGTGCTTATTACCTGCACGGTTTCCTTGTTCACCTTCATATTGCTGTCTATCATTTGGCTGCAGACTTTATTCCAAAGTTGAGTTCAGTTCCAGGCACAAATCTGTCACTAAGGACCATAGTCTTAGGGGTTCTGTTAGTCTGTGTGGTACTAGTCAGCCTGGCCATTATTGTGACTTTGAGTTTTCTTGAACATTTATTTCCCTCTCTATCTAGAAACCTCTGTTGTAATTCCTTTCAGAGTGGCTAGCAGTGTTGGCTGTGCGCTGTTTCTTCTGTTCTCATGTGCCTTTTAATTTCTTCACTCCAAGCATTTCAGATAGGGAACGACCAATGCTTGCAGTTTAGATGGCCACTTGAAAGCTTTGGCATCTCTGAGTAGAGTGTAGAACATTATCCTTACGGATATTCCAGTTGACTTTGATGTCACCTAAGACTATGGTTCTGAAGCCCCAAGATTAGTAGTAACTTAATTCCCTCATGGTGTTGGTTTATGGTTATGAAGTTTATGTAATATTGTTAGGGACATTTTTCAAAAAGAATTTTTTTGTTGTTCCATGAGAATGAAAATATATTTGAGAGGTAATATAACATAATGAGAATGAACTTGTAGTTTGGAACCAACTTTATTTCATCATTCTTAGTGTTGTGATCATAGGAAGTTATTTAAAATATCAGAAGCTCACTTTACCCACTGTTCAGTGGGGATAATAATAAACAGAGGAAGGACTGTTTGGAAAAGTTCACTAATTAGTATGTATAAAATTTTTAGAACAAAGTAAAGAATTTATCAAATGCTTGGTATTATGACTTGATAATAAAAAACATAAAACTGATGCAAGGGAGCTCTGGTGGCCTAGTGGCACTGCAATCCCGAAGGCACACGGTTCGAATCCACCAGATACTCTGCTGGAGCGGGAAATCTCTTCCTGTGCCAGCGGGATCCAATTTAACAATACACAACAAGGGGGGAAAAAACCCCACAAATGAAAACTGATGCACATGGTCAGAAAGCAATTAGGCTTACTTAGTAATGAAGTGTCTGACCTGCACACATCAACCTGGCAGAAACCTGATTCTTCATATTTTAGCCAATTAGATAATAGTTCAAATTATAGAATTTAGGAATAATGTAGATATTTAAAACTTGGAATATGAAATCTCCAAAACCTACAAGTCTACTTTATGTATATTTATAGTAATAACCGTAAGCTTTGTAAGAATTAGAACAGACACTAAAATAATACCCATACAAAATAAC